CTATATCAGTCGGAAAAGATAGTGGGGAACTGTTCTGTGTATATATATATGTAACGAAAAATCATACATGAATACAATCACATTTGCATCGATCAAACTCGTCGACAAGATATTACTTCAAGATTCGAAGTAGTTTAATATCAATAGCAGTTGAAATAGTAAGTGACGTTTTTCTCATGTTTTGCTTTCTTCGACAGAATCGAATTAGATCAAAGATATAGAATTGTTTCTCTGACCAAGAAGTTTATCAGGGCAATCAATAACAGAACAGACTATTTTTTGCCTATTCAATCACCTGAGAGATGAAGATTTGAACGGCAATGTAGATGTTAAAGCGACAATCTGTAAGTTCTGATCGCTGTTATATTCCTTCTCATTTCCATATGCATCCGTAATCTCAACTTTCTCCAGTCTCATTGCGTAATGCAAGTTTCTGCTGACAGAAAATGCTGTGAGTTGAAGGTACGAATATGAATGACAATAAGGATGTCGAGATATGTCAACGTTCGTCTCATGTTTATCCATGAAGTATGAATATTTCAAACACATATTCTTCGACTTTTTCTAAAATTCTTTAATTCTCACATGTCATTTTGCTTAAGATAAGATGCGGGGTTCTTATTCACGTACCAGCCCTCCAAGCTGAATCTTTTTCTTCGTTGCTTGATGACTTTTTTCTAATATTTTATTACACAATTGTGTCTCCAAATGAATAACAAAATCAAATAGACGTTCTTCTCTTTTCCAGTCAAATGTTCGATTCATGCTACGCGTTCATTGCTCTTGTGTTGTTATATTTCCGCACTGTAGCGTTGAGTAGATATGTATGCATTAAGAAAATACTTGGTTAAACGTTTCGATGTTGGAAATTTATCGTAGGTAAGCACGTTACTAATCTGACAACAATTGACTCGCATCGTAGCTCTTCTGAAATTCCTTGTTACTCTCTTCAAAGAGTCGTAAGAGATATAAAGCGTCATATTTTGTGGTAAACAAGTCTTGGTATCGAGCAGAAATTGCTCAATGTAATCATCATGAACATTGGTGAAATCTAGTTCAATCAGACGAGGATATTGAATAATTGGGAATTCTCTGTTATTGCTGTTCAGCTTTTGTTCTTGTGGTGTTTCATTACTCACAGTTAATTGTTCCAGAAATGGAAATGCATGTGCAATTCGAACGAAAAACTCATGTTCAAAAGGACGATCATCGAATAGTGATACTTCACGAACACAGTTAAATAATCTTCCTTGAAAGCTGTTGGTAATACGATCGCAATATGTCAATGTATATGGATCGGAATAGAAATGGCATTGACCAGTTTTTTCGCTGGGAAAATAATCAACATAGGATCGAACTGGAACATCTCCAAGATCTTTCAGCGTCTGTTGTATGTCTTCATTCGATACAAAATAAGCTGGATCAGGACCAAGAAGAACAGAACGAATGCTAAAGGCAAACTTGTTTAATCGAGGTAAATGATTAATAAAATCATTTTTCAAAGCATTTCCGTCGAGAAACGTACATTGACCAACAACAATGTACAACGAAAGTTCTTCTAGATTCAGCATTCGTCGGATAAGCGGAACGATTGAGTACTTATGCGTATACATTTCTGATCGACACGTCAATGAAAAACATTTCAGATGAGGCACCGGCTTCTAAAAAAACCATGAACAATAACGAGTTGTGTGAGGAAGAAAATCGGATGCAATTACATTGTCTTTAATCATGCCCTTCGAGAAAACACACTCGATATTCACATAAAATGTACGCAGCTGATTTAAGCCACCAGTGAGCATCTGGAGACAATCGTTCAAGTACACGACGTTGATACGTAATTCTGTTAAAGTTGAACATACAAATGTGAAAGATTTTTCATCAAATGATAATCGTCTTAAACGTCGTCGCTCAAACGTATTGCAGTTTAGATAACGTAGATTGTTAAACACATTTAGAATATTTGTAAAGACGCACGCCACCAAATTACCATCTGTGCTTCTGGATCCTTTATCGACGATTCGAATACAAAGTGACCGAATTTTTTTGTTGAAAATATCGAACAAAGGAGATGAATCTAAACACAGATACAAAATCAGAAAGTTGAATATGTTGAAAAACATGTGCTTGTCACGATCATATCGTGGCGTCATGTAATATCAAATGACGTGCTTTCTCTCTCACACCACCAATATTCAGAGAACTGCGATTAGATATCTTACCAATGAACCACCGTTGAGCAATCTCTTCGTTAATATTATACAAACTGAGACCATATATATTCGGATAATCAATAGTAAGAATACGTTCAGCAGATGATGATTCAAGTACAAGGTAATTGATTTTGTGACGAATTTGAGGCAATATTGATAAGCAAAATCGATCCACCACCGGATCAAGTAATGAAAAAACACGATCGTCTGAAAGACGTCTCAACAACACTAAGCATCTGGTAAACATTGAATCAAACAGAATTCTGTCTAGTTCTCTATTGATACCCAACAGACAATAGAGTAGTTGGACATTGTTTAGTTTCCTGAAAATCATCATGATTAATTCATCTGGCAAACGAAGCAGTTGAACGATGAAACTTTCTATCATCATATTCATCTGACAATTTCTTCTGCCTGCGCACGTATCAAACCATAAATGTATACACAGTCATTGTCTCTGTCTTTTCTCACCGCTGCCGACAGTCAACAGAAGAAAGCAACGAACTTTCTTTTCGTTCAAGTTAACGACCAATGAATAAATGATCTGCTTTCTTCATCCTTCTATCAATATTTCTCATCATATGACGCATGAGTTATTCCACTACACTAAGAACTGTGTCATTCTCTTATTGTATTTCAATTGAATACAATAGAACAATTATTGAACAAACAGACAAACAAAAAACTGCTGCTATTCATACTAAAATATAATACAGAGATATAGCACAAAGAACTCAACTTGGCAAATTTTCTTTCATGAACTTTTCGAGCGATTTCAATCGTTCGTCAATATCAGCCGTATCATCTGCATTCGTCACATTCGTTGTTTTCATTGCGTCAACATCTAAACACATTGAACAAACGATTCTCACAACAGAAAGTCCTCGAATCAAACACACTTTGTGGATATTGACGATGATGAGGAATGAGATTTGTATGGAACAAAACTTGTAACATGATTGGATGTTGTTTTTCGTAGAACATCAAGTGGTGGTGAAGACACACCTTCCATATCCTATGTAGATTCGCAAAAGAGAGAGAGAAGTTGATCAATTGAGAACATGCCGTTTTTTGACATACAGAGTCAGTTGAATCGTTTGTTTTATATGCACTTGTTGATTTTCGATTTGAACTTCGTCGAGAACCTGATGTACGAAGACCATCATCACTATCATTTAATCGTAAAATAGTAACTAAATATAGAAAATTAAAGATGAAATAACTCCAAAGAGAGAGAAAGCCCATTGCTTACTGGATCCTGCTTTACTTCCATTACGAGCAGAAAAATCTAACAACAAACAAGAGACATTCTGAAATTAATTGACGGAGGACGAGTAAATTCTCTCACCAACTCATATCAGACTCTGAACCACGAGGATCAGCACTTCGTCTTCGTCGAGGACTTCTACGAACAGACACAAAGAAAAACGATATTCTTGTTATGTTCATAAGAAGAACATCACTTTTGGATTTCAATTTGTGGTAGTCTGAGATTTCGCTCACGAATATAAGCCGTTGAATTAAACCGACCACAACGATCTAAGTGAGGCGGAGACAACAGACACACAAAAAAGGATCAATTGATATTGTACCTGCAGGTGTTGGTGATTGTTTTGTGATACTGGTCGACCGATAACGAGTTTCACTTCCACTTCGACGAGAATCATTAGAATGCGAACGATGTTTCGAACGATTACGTGATGATAATGTAGATAGTAAATGATCGGAACGAGGCCGACGCTGTTCACCTGAAGATGGACGTGATGATGAGGGCGGACGATGTTGGGATGAATGAGGAGAATATGTAAACAAAACAATGTTCTGAAGTCACAGACACAGCGCATCTCTGATTCGCTTAGAAGATATCGAAAAATTCGAATGCGAACAAATGACGAAGAAACGACGTACCCATTGAGTTGCATAGTTCGTTCTCTCTCGATGATGATCGGACTGTAGTTGAATGAGGAAGAGTACTAAACAAGAAGAGACAAAGCAGACCTGGATTCTGATCTTCTGAATAGAATTACCTTCGTTTGAGTAAAGCAATTCCATTGGTCAGACTTCTTATTTTAAATTTCACTTGTCTTTCCGATGTTTTCAATGATTCTACCTAAAATTCGTTTTTGTTTGTTAACAACGAAAGGAAAAACGAAATGTGTACTTGATCATTCAATGTTATATAATCATCATTTTTTCACAGATTTTATTCGTTCTTTCGCCAGAGCATCTTCACTGGCTCCAACCATCTTGACGGAGTAATTCAATTTGTTGTTGTCGCTGTTGGCCACTGGAATTTGTTGAACGATGTGAAGACAACTGTTGACGGAATCCAGAAGAGCTGCACCGGAACCGACTCAGATTCCAACGGATCCAGTCGCCGGAATGATCGACCTGGGTGTCTTTCTTTAAACGAGGAGTGAGGGTGAGGGTGATGAAAGAATAAACTCACACTCCCTATAGTTTCAGGCATTCCTGAATTTAATTACAGCGATCGTATAATAAAAAATAACAGTACATATGCAATAGATTTCTTCTATAAAATGTTTGGTTAAGATAGATAGTAACAGAACGAGAGAAAAGGCACGACTATAATTCGTACTTCAAACTTGATGTAAACTACAGATAACATTTTGCCTTTTTTCCTTTGATGCATAGATCTGTTACTCATGTAAACGAGATAAAACTGTGTCTTCCTTTATAATTGTTAATAGTTTCCGAATGAAATTTATTGAGTTTATGCGTAAGGTTTTGTATGTGATGACTTTTTTTAGAGATTTTAATTAAATGGCTGAATCAACCAGTAGTAAGATGCCTAATGCTAGCAATATACCCACTCTAATGAAAGCTGCTCAACAAAGTGGTTTTGAAGAGATACGTGATGTTCTTAAACCTGATGAGAGTGTAAATGTACCTCGTCAATTATCATCGAAGCAAATTCTTGTTCGAGTTTGTGCTGTTGCTATTAATCCGGTCGATTGGAAGATTTTAAATGGAAGATTATCACTTGTTACTTGGTATTCATTTCCTCATATATCAGGTACAGATGTTGCTGGGATTGTTGATGCTATTGGTTTAGGAGTGAAACGTCTTCAAATTGATGATCATGTTTATGGAGATCTTACCATTCATGGTGGAAGTTATGGTGAATATGTTCGTGGAGATGAATCAATCTTTTCGTTGAAACAAAAAACTTAACAATGGAAGAAGCAGCAGCTGTACTTTTAGCATGTAATACTAGTTATCAAGCATTGTGTAAAAAAGAATGTTGCACGTTTGGGAATCAGTTCCTACGATTCCGGAATCGATACACACAATTCCGCGGAATTCCTACCGATTCCGGAATTACACCCACTCCCTGCACCATAGGCGTTCCAAGAAAATGCTAATTACAAAAAAATGTTTCCATTAAGTGGATGGGTCCTCATGGATCCATTCATTAAATTCTGCATTGAATAAATAGACTTGTTTTTGTGAACGGGACATAATTTGATGAAAAATGTAGCTAAATCTTTAGTTCATCGTGCTGGCTTCTCACTGATCTTTTTATACGAGTTATAACTTTTAGATCAACCAGATTGAAAGCGGAAACAAAAACAAGAAAATTTAGAATTCTTCCGACGAACGTTGTGACCGTCTCGCTGACATGCATTCTACGCATTATAGGATTATTTTCATCTAATGGATTACCCTTATTATGTTCTTACTCCGATACACTGTGACATTTTTATATGATGTTTTCTTGAGTTCTGTTCGATATGGGCGAGTATATAAATTCGTGTCGTGCATTAAAACGATGTAGTTTATGGGAAAAAATTAATATAGGCGTCATTCTGCCAGTGCTTATATCTCTTCCATGAAAAATCGTCGCACTATGATGAATAAGTATGTGAGACAAAGATACTATTTCCTTTTCTGAAAGGAAGGGTTATAGCGTATAAAATACGATCGTTAAAATGCTAAAAGGTTTATTTGCATAATCCAATCAGATTGCAGTATTTAATAAGTTCAATAAAAACTCATGGATAGTCATTAATAAATAATTGACTGAATGGTACTCGTGGTCGAGGCTCCCGAATCCGATGTTAGTTTTCGCAAATACTGATTAATTAAATAGCTAATAAGTAGTTCTTATAGTGTCGAATAAGAGTTGATCGAAGGGTAACATGGATCGAAGATGTCAAATGTGGTGTTAATTTTTCAATAGAAAAATTCTGTTCTGTTTTTTCAGACAAAGGACAATTTTTTGCAAGGAAGTTCTCTTTAGACGATAGCGTTTGAAGTAGCAATGTGTAGAACAAAACGAAATAGCTGATTAACGTCGGATTGTTGGATATTCGTACTCATTAGTATATTGATAACATCACAATTATAGAACCAGTTATATTACCACAAACATTATCTGACGCTAACCACTCAAAATAATACTTCCCCTGGCAAATGTTGTTTTGGGCAGTCACAGTTGCGCAAAATTGGTTATTCTTCAATAGGGAATGGGAGGAAATGGTTTGATTCATTTTGAAGGGGATTCTAAACTAGGCGAAAGATTGAAAGTTGGACATGTAACGGCTGGCTGCAAGTGGCCAGCCGACTAGATATCAATTTGAAGAGTAATATTTTAAACAACAAGCTTTAGCGATTTTCATATAGTTTCAAGAGTTCTTGGACAGAGCTTAATCATCGATTAGGAAGAACATATCCGGCAATCTTTTAAGTTGCCTGGTGATGAATAGATGAACGGAACCTTTCGCAGAGAGCAGTATATCTATCTAAGTTCCTACATTTTCGATTATGAATTGATTATCCAGATCGGACTTCTTTTCGGATAACATCTTCATTTGAATAAAGTGAAAAAGGAGAATACATGGAAACGACTAATCGTGAGTGGCCGATCGAAGCCTGGCCGACGAACGGCTAGGCGTTTGTTTGAGCGGCTCAAAAGAAATAGAATAAATGGAAGTAAATTTATTTTTGATTGCAAATAGTGGGAAGAGAGTCGATCAATAAATATTTAGAAACAGTGTTCCGTTTGCTTACATCTTTGCATCGACGGGCCGGCAAAAAAAATTTCAGAGGGAGGGGGGGCAATAGCTTCCCTCTGGCCCGCCGATGCATCTTTGGACAAATAAATTGAAAGTAGTTTGACGTGAATAAAGTAGAAAAGGATAAAAAGAAAAGAATGCGCATAGAAGTGGCTTTAATTGGAAGCGGATTAGAGTGAGATATACGTGGGCGTTTTTATCTAGAAGTCTTGTAATTTTTTCAGAAAAGGGTCAGCTAATCCAACAGGTTAGCGCTATTGGTATCTTACTTGAGAAATCGTTTACAAAAGGTTATAATCACCTACTAAGATTTTTTCAGAAAAGTATAGAAAGAATGATGCATCATGAGATCCGCCGTCAGTCTCACTTGAAGAATATTTTCTACATTAAAAAGAATACTTCCAAAGATATTGTTTTATTTCCCCGCCAACCATAACCCTTAAACACGTACTCTTTTATATTATATACAAGCTTATTTGCTCACAAATTCAAAATAATTATGTCTTTAGCAGCAATATTAGATTCAATTCAAACAAATTTGTTTCGATTTGGCGGTCCGTTCGTAATCATAAATGCGACGATTAGTTGTATACTTAATATCTTGGTTTTCACAAAACCTACTCTTAGAAAAAATCCTTGTTCAATTTGTTTCATTGCCGTCACCATTGCAAACACTTTATACCTATATTTTGTTTTCATTCTTCAAGTAACTCAAGTTGGATACAATACTGATCCAAGTATAACTAATATTATTTATTGTCGCATTCGATTATACAGTTCATGTGTTGGAAATTGTTTGGGCCCATCCTTCTTGATCCTTGCATCGATCGATCGCACATTAATAACTTCAAAAGATGCAGGAGTACGAAAACGAAGTTCAAATCGTTTAGCTATAATATGTATCATTGTTTTAACTATCTTCTGGATGTTATTCCATATTCATGCATTCTTCTTTGCAGAAATTATACAAGTTGGACCAAATTTGTTATTCTGTTTTTCTCAACCAGGAGGATACACAGTTTTCACGAGCTATTTTGCACTTGTGTTCAATGCAATAATAGTACCTCTCTTTATAGTCATATTTGGACTTTGGACAGTGAAGAATGTCAAAATAGTACACAATCGCGTGCATCCTGTTGGTTCATTTGGAAATACGTCGAGCACAGTAGGAAAAAATCAACATATTGGATCAAAAGATCATCAATTAATTAGAATGTTACTGATTGATATTCTTACCTATATTATCTTTCGAGTTCCATTTGCTCTCTTTCTTGTTTATCAACAAATTACACAATATCAATTGAAATCTAATGATCAAATAGCTATCGATTATTTTGGTTTCAATATTACATATTTTCTTTTCTTGGCTGTAGCTGCTATTAATTGTTATACAAATCTATTAGTTTCAAAAACATTTCGAGCCGAATTGAAACAAACCTTTTTAAAATGTGTAAGTTTTTGTTTCGTTCAACAAAGGGAAAATTGAAAAAGATGATTCAATCAAATCAAAGACATTCATCAAAGTCAATCTCAATAAAGAAGTATGCAGAAAAATGACAAATTAACACTATCTATGAACGTTAAATGTCGTTTGTGTCTGTTCTCAAAATTATGCCCTGTGGAAGCTTTGCTGATTGTAAAATCTATGTCGTTACTTAATTACTCGATTTTGTTTTAAAATGCAACACAATAAATCGGAAAATAATTTATCTTGATGATAAACAAATATTGATAATCTAGAATGTTGATTTCGATTGAAATTAGTCTTAAACAGATTATAATTGCGCTCATGTACTCAGATACATTGCTATCACGCAGTTATTCATTCAGTGGGTGAGGGACACGGAACATTTTGTCCTCTCAGAGGTGACCTATGTCCCCCGAAATTCAGCAATATTATGCTTTTTGAGCTCAAAACCCTATGGTTTCCCTCCAAGAAAATCGAGTTTACTCTTCCGACAATTAGTTTTGCATTCTCGCTCTAAGCAAGCTGGAGAAAACACTGCTGTGACGGATATCGTGATCAAGATAGACTTGTAATGTCAGTTTCTGTTGAATAAATATCAGTGAATGAAACGACAAGACCATTGAGTTCAGCAGAAAATATTAGATTTATGAAAGAATACTAATAAAATTAGAGTAAATGCTCTATTAGGCTTCTAATATATTAGAAAAGTTATAACGCTGATACTGGATTTCATTCCGGACCATAGGCCTTTCGCTTGAAAAAAAAAGGACGATCGATTTAATATAAAGAATATAAACAAAAGGTTTTGGGAAATGAAATTGTCCGACAAGAATCTTATTATATCTAGATAAATGTTTTCATTAGAAAAATTATGATTTGCTGAATGTGTTAGAGAGATTTTTTTTAATACAGTTGGAAATTTGAAAGTACAATGGAAGTGCATATTACACTTGATGATTTGTCTGAGTCTGTAGGAAATAATTGAATAGATTCTATTAGAATTCTTTTTTTCACACATTGCGTCTTCTCAATAACCAACAGTACAAACAAATGATCTTTCTTAAACACATTTTCGTTTTAAAATCATTGTAACAAGTAAACACATTTGTTCTCGATAGTCAAATAATTATTCGCATGTAGATCAAAATTTCTGAAAATAATTTCTAAGTGTTATCTTGAACAATGTCAAGATAGAATTTTTTTAATGAAAACGAACTTATCAATGTTTAAACAATAGTTTTCGAAATTATTTGAAAGTAATCTCATTTCGTCTCAAAAAAAGATAATCAAATTTTAGTGAAATATTGTGTAGTTGAATTGTGTATTAATATTAGACATATTTTAACCATTTCAATGTTTTCGTAATGTTAAATATTTGTCTGTCGATAAAGGACTTAGTTGGTTTAAATTATCTTCGAGATGGGTGTGAATATTTCGAAAGTAGACTCTTTAAAGTACCTAATTTGAATTTCAATAATATTGTATATCTTGACGACAGACGGATATTTATTCTCATCATATCGATTATTTTTATTTTATATTGAAAGAGTACTTTGGATTTATCTTTTTTTGAAAAAAACAACAGATGGAATCTAATTCCCGTTATTAGTTTTTTTTACTGGCACTATTTAAACCCTTTGCATGTTCGATTTTCTATTAGAAATAAATCGATTCGAAGTACAGTTGATCGACATTAATTCCAATGAGACAATCATCAATGTTTCTCTTTGCCATTTGCACAATGATTTTCCCATCGATCATTGTTGCACAATATGGACATTGTGTTGCACGAAATGGTCGTAGTGGAGAATGTATAAGTACAAGTCGATGTAAAACTCTTGGTGGAACATCAGATCCTGCTAATCTTTGTCCAGGAGATCAATCAATTCAAGTAAATTCAATTGAAAGTGAATTTTCAGAAGAAATTTTCTTCTTTTAGTGTTGTACTTATCGTGATTGTCGTAATACTCAAAATATTGCTGGTATTTGTCAACCAACAGCAACATGTGGAGGAAAATCAGATCCAGCTAATCTTTGTCCAGGTGGAAATAATATTCAATGTTGTACAGGTGGTGGTAATACTGGTGGTAATCTTCCTCATCTTGATGCTAAACAATCAAATTATGCACGAATTATCGCACGAGCTGCAAAAGATAATGGATTACCATTTCGTGCTTGTGAAGTTGCTATTGTAACAGCTATTGTTGAATCAAATATTCGTGTTTATGCTAATTCAAAACTTCCCGAATCATATAAATATCCTCATGATGCTGTTGGTAAATATTCAAAAAGAAAGATTTGTCTCTTGTTTTTCTTAATCGTTTGTTTCTTTTAATAGGATCTGATCATGATAGTGTTGGTATTTTTCAACAACGACCAATCTATTGGGGAACTATAAGAGATTGTATGGATCCTCGAACAAGTGCGAATAAATTCTACAATGCTCTCAAAGGTGTCGCTGGATGGCAAAATGTCAGTGTTGGTACTGCTGCACAAAAAGTTCAACGATCAGCTTATCCTTNGTCTCTTGTTTTTCTTAATCGTTTGTTTCTTTTAATAGGATCTGATCATGATAGTGTTGGTATTTTTCAACAACGACCAATCTATTGGGGAACTATAAGAGATTGTATGGATCCTCGAACAAGTGCGAATAAATTCTACAATGCTCTCAAAGGTGTTGCTGGATGGCAAAATGTCAGTGTTGGTACTGCTGCACAAAAAGTTCAACGATCAGCTTATCCTTTACGATATGATCAACATGCTGCAAAAGCATTAGCGATTTGTCAAAAGGCATATTAAATATTTCTTTGACAAATTTCTTTCTTTTCATTAAATAAACTTTGTTCGATTGAAGAAATGAGGATTATGATTTGTATGTGATCAGATTGGATTCTTGTATGACATATCTCACTGTGTATTGCATACTTGTCTATTATTAGAAATTTGATATCTGCATTTATTCTCACCGAACTGAAAAATACCGATCGAACGCATGTGAGTCAAATCCTTCAAGGTTATGGGGTGCGTTTTTATACGATCTATTCATTAAAAAAATGGTTTTCAATATTGAGGACATAAGTTTTGTCGACGTTTATCCGCATAACAATGAAAATTCAGATGAGAAAAATGACCCAATTCTCATAGAAAATAGATCGAAAAATAAGGACAATGTTTGAAAATTTTCGTTTGTGATAAACTCGTCTTATGTGCTGAAAAGAAAAGGTAAATTTTTGAATATTTGTTTTTTGATAAACAAAAACAGTTTATCTTTTCCGAATGAAGAGAAGAGAGTTATATATTATCTGTCTATTCACGAGATAAGTTCTCATTTTCGATCTTATTCATCAAAGTATAAGATGCGTCTTCATATAGGTTTAATCATTTGTTTTGCCTTTGTCATCGTCTCCGGTCATAATTTCGAAGGAAAAAAGAAAGGTTCGATTTTATCTGAAAGTTTCATCAATCGTATCAATAAAGCTCAATCAAAATGGGTGGCTGGACCGAATAAATTTCAAACATGGTCAAAATCAGCTATAAAACGATTAATGGGTGTTCTTCCAGAACACTTCATTCAAGTCAAACATCTTGATGCAATTGTACATGAAGTTCCAAATGATTTACCGACGAATTTTGATGCAAGAGAACAATGGCCAAATTGTTCAACAATCAGAGAAGTTCGTGATCAAGGAAGGTAAATATTTTCTTTTGAAAAAAAAAGAAGAAAATCTAAAGAAGCAAATTTTCTTTTCAGTTGTGGAAGTTGTTGGGCATTTGGTGCTGTTGAAGCCATGTCAGATCGTATCTGTATAGCATCCAATGGTCAACAAAATGCACATATATCAGCTGAAGATCTTGTTTGTATGTTGAAATTGTATTTTCTTTCTTTGTCAAATACATTTTTCGATATTTCAGCATGTTGTTTATTATGTGGACAAGGTTGTAATGGAGGTTTTCCAACTGCTGCTTGGAATCATTATCGATTTACTGGATTAGTTACTGGTGGAAATTACAATTCGAAACAAGGTTGTGAACCATACACAATTCCTTCATGTGATCATCAGTATATTGCAAATTTGTCGCATACGCTTTGTTTATCTTTATTTTTATTTTTATTTTA